CTGGCAAGCGGTGAGCAAGTGCTGCTGGAGGCCAAGGCTGCTGCCCTGTCCAGCTCTCGGAAGCCAGGAGAGGATCTGCCAGCTGCACCAAAGGAAGAGCTTAACCATGTTCCAAGTAGTGGAGTTCCCGGTGAACCTCTGGAGACGGAGCAACTGCTCCTCAAGCAGGGTGCCACCAACGCCAGCGAGCATCCAGCTGATACGGATGGCAGCCAGGCTGGCGAATTGAGACCCCAGATGGGACAGGCAAGTCATGGATGGTGTGTGATGAACTCGGCAGGAGCCTCCAATGATGCTGGTAAGGACAGAAGTGAAGAGCAGCCAGCTCAGCCAGCTGAGAGTAGGGACTTTGACCATGAAGAGTGGGAAGTTCTTTCTGAGCACCTGGCTTGGGGGGAGGATGGCAGCGTGGAAGACTCTGATGGCAAGGAATGGGAACAAGGAGACTGCCCTGATGGGGACTTGAAAGCAAAGAGAGTTGCAGCTGTGCCCCCGATGTTTCAAAATATTCACGTGACTTTCCGCGTACACTACATCACACGCTCTGATGCTCAGCTGATTGGTGTTACAGGTGACCACGAGTGTCTTGGCCAGTGGCACAGCTATGTTCCCCTCAAGTACGACAAGGATGGCTTCTGGTCTGAATCCGTTGTTATGCCAGTAGACACCAAAGTAGAGTGGAAATTTATCTTGGTGGAGAACGGGAAGGTCAGACGTTGGGAAGAATGCGGTAATAGGACCCTAGTGACTGAACATGAAGATCAAATTGTTCATCAGTGGTGGGGATACCATTAATGGGATTCTGGAAGCTGCTTATCAAATGGCAAACCTGCTTAGATTAATCAGAGCCCCTAAACTTTACCCCTTCTTCAGCAGGAAAGTGCAGAGCTCTCTAAATCCCCTATCAAACCTTGTTAAACCGCGTCATCTCTGCCGTCCCCTTTAGGAAATCTTTTGGCAACCTGAAAAATAAACTTCAAACGCGTTCTGAAGGTGTGCAAGGTAGGCCATGAAGGCACGAGCAGCATTCCAAGCAGCTGTTTGTCCGGGTGTATCTGGACCCTGGACTTGAGTTTGTGTTGCTTTGAGTGGGGCTATGGGATGCATCTTTGTACCGACCGCTTAGGGCTTTTGAAGCATACTAGGAAGTGTGGGTACCTACACTGTAGTAGGAACTTAAGTGTTTTAACTTATGTAATGTATTAAGTAAGCAATAAACGCTTTCAGACTGACAGTCCTTTCAAACTTGACCAGTGAATTGACTCTTAATAACTCTGCTAAAAGTGAGTTACTTGACCCGAAATCTTAGTGCTAAAGATTTACTGGCAAGTGACTGGCACTCTTTGGAGTAAAAAAGGTTTAACCCCCAAGTACTTCATTCTCCCTACTCTCCAGAAAGCACCTCAGCTCAAATGGCGGCTTGGCAGGTAGGTCCCTTTTAGTCAGACCATCCTGCTGAGGGGAGAGCAAAGGTCAGAAAGGACTGTCTGGGCTTAATGAGTTACTTTGTCAGGGTGGGAGCAGGCTTTAAAAATACCGGGACCGCTGTGATGGCGAGGGAATAGGATTCTTCCTGAAACAAGAGTTAGGTGGCATATTCTGCCTACCTAGGAACTACATTACAGTATTATTAGCAACTCCTTAGCTTAAACTTGGATTTTTTTTTTTCAAGACTAGGCTTTTCAACACAGACCTATGGTAAGTTGTGGCCTTCTAGTAAGCCAGACAATGTAGAATACATCCAGCTTCAGTTAGTATTTTTTGTATGCCAGAAGCAGAAAGCTGCTCTGCTGGCCTGCTTTTTTGTATTTTTGGTTACAAATATGTGATGCCACTTTAACAAGCTCTTCTTTTCATAATGAGGAACCTAGCTTGCAAATAATGCTTCCCTAAAGTGAACTTTGTCTGAAGTGCATAGTTTTGCAGGAGTTCTGAAGTGCATAAATTAGCACTTTGGTTTGGAACATTTACTTCAAAAGCACACTGCTGATCTAATTGTCTCTGATGATTCTTTCCTGCTTTGCATGGTGAGTATGTGAAATAGAATGGATTTTGGTGATACACTGGAATATCGGCTTCAGGGGCTTACTTCCTGCTTCTAATGGTTTAATGGACAACCAGCTGGTGGGACCACACAGAGCTGCTGTGAAGAACAAGTGTCTGAAATGTTGTTACTGGGACTTCAGTACCAGTACTTTGATGAAGCAAATCCATCGAGAGTGGGCTGGGCTGTCTGCTCCTGCAGCCATAGCCAGGGAACAGCTCAAGAAAACCTTAGAGGGGGGCGGAGTTGAGGGGAGGGTCAACAGGGAGAGAGACCAAGGCAAAAGGAAAAATTGCTGAGTTTTTTGTGTTCTCATGTACAACAAGCCCCTCCCCGCTGTTGCTACATGACAGAGCAACCTGTTCTGTGGGTCAGTTAGTTCTGCAGGTACTAGCTTTGCTATTTGTTGTCTCAAGCAACCTAAAGATTCAAGCGGATAAGTTTCATATCCTTCAAGAGACCTTTTAGAGAAGAGAACAAGGTAGGAAATGTGGGTGGGAGCTAAACTCAAGACGGACTGTAAGCTTTTTGCTTGTCCAGGATGAAAAGTACCCCTGTAACTACTATGGCAGGTCTGGCAGGAATGTGCTATCATTTCTGGGAACCGAGTCAAAAGGGAGAGGATGGAGCTGACAGCAGGTGGTTGATGCTGCTTCAGTGGTCTTAAACACATGTGTGTGTGCACACACTAGTCCTCAACTCTCTCAAAAGGGAACTAATGGGGGACTTAAGTTACTACATGAACTTCAAAGGAAAATAGGACATTGTTAGCATGCCCTGGGTTGAAAAATAAATATTAATGTGAGGCTCACTTCATGTTAGGGGCCACTGCTTCACTGTAACAAATATTTCTACTGTTTAATTATGCCTATGCTTACTGTGTATGAACAGAAAGCTCTAAAGTTCTGTCCACGTGCACCCCCACTGAGTACACAAAACATTTTCTGGGTTTCAGCCAGTAACTTAGAGCTTAAACTGAGTAGGTAAAATTCTGCTGAACTAATGGCTTGGTACCTTAACTGCATTTATTTCGCACTTAGCTTTTCTAACAATACATTTAAATGAACAATATACCTAATATACAGAGGTACAGTTGAAACAAAAGTTGATCTTCAGAAATTACTGAAGTCAAAGCAAAACATGTTATTTCAAGCTGTTTAAAATTCTTCTCCCCCATTAATGCAAGCTCCTTAAATAGTGAGATACTGTCAACTTAAAAAGCACTTGTCCAACAGCCACTGCCATTTGAGTGTATTTATACATACATTGGAGGCTTGTCTGAGAAGATTAACTGTGGTATTAGATTAAGATACTCACTAGAAAGCCACTTAACCTACACTAGAATAGATTCTCTAATGCAATGATGAACATGTTTCAAACAGACTAACCCTCAGAAGTCTCTCAAATTAAGGACAATTTTTTTTTTAATTACATACCCTGCACTTTGATTCCCACAGACAATGCACATAGTCCTCAAGATTGCATCATCTTCTACAAAGACCTGCACTGCACTTTTACTGTAACCTCTAAATTATTATGCCATTCACATCACTGCTTGCCCAGCAGGGCCTATGCTATGTAAATTAAATGTCATTTGTATGGTGAAAAAAAAAGAGCTCTGCATTTCAGTATTATAGGAGGAGCTGATAAATATTTTCTCCAAGTTTACAGAGGTGATTTCTCATTATTGAACAATCTATTCACTCGAGTGTGAAAGTAAATTTAAACAAAGTTGCCTTAATGCATAAAAATTGTTATGCTAGAATGGGCTGGTACCTGTCTAATGCAATGTCCTGGCTGCGAGACTAGGGAAGCTGCATGTGAAAAAACAAGTTCTTGTTGACATTCCTATGTGGATGTAACAGCCTAGCAGCCAAGGGCTCAGGATATCGAAAAGCAAATAATAAACTGTCTCACTCACAGCTTAGCAAAGCCAGAAAGACTGCAACCAAAGACTGCATTTTAAGGTCACCCGCTCATACTGCTGACAACAAACTTCTGACAAATTATAGACAATTTGATTACTTTTACGTGAAATGCAATCTACTCCTACTTGTGAAGTAGTTTGATGTACAAATGCTAAATGCTGCACCTGGATGGTAAGCCGAGCAGAATGCTTGAGGCTGGAATGGGCACTGGGCATAAACCAGTTTAAAGTCACGTACAGAGACTTACATTGCAACTTGTGTGCTTCCTATTCGCTTTGCAGGTGCCTTTGCAGAAAACTTACGCCCACCCCGTTCTGGGAGTTAAACTTACTGTTTGGAGTCTCTCCAAATGATCCATTCAAAAACATTAGACTGGCATTAGTTTTTCTCTCTAGGGGGTTGGCTGCCGTCTGTGGTGTCCTGTTGTGGTCGAGATTTGCCTAACTCCTCCTGTCATCCACCTGTATGATATGGAATAACAAAGCGCTATTTGTGCTGCAAAGTCCAGGACGTTTATAGCTGCTCTTGGGCCCACGAGCCTATGACCCTTCTGCCTCCCCCCGCCGATTCTTTTCCTTCTGCTGGTGGCAGGCAGGAAGCCCAGACCTGTTCCCAAATCGGCTGGATTCCAGCACAAGGATGTTAAGCTGCGTTTTTACTTGACAGATCTCCCTTCTCTCTGGCTATTTGTAACTCTCCACCTGCTCCCTTCCGTTCTCACAGGGCTGCAGTCTTTGAAAACTCCTTCTAGCATGGCTCTTTGAACACAACTGAAAGTCCACTTTTCATTGACCTTTTCCAACCTGCTGGGCTAGGGGGTGAATGCATGCTCTCATTCTCTATGCCCTTTTCTTACAAAAACTCTGGTAGATCTGCCAAATATGTATAACAAGTCCAAACTATGATACATCTAAAATGATCCTTTCATTTTCAGTGCAACCGATTCCTAGGAGAGGGGAGATGCCTTTATTAACATTTTTGACTAAGCTTGCAACACTGTTGCAAAAAATGACAGAATCAGTGGAAAAAAATTATTAGGAAATACAGAAAATTACCTGAATTAAATAAAAATACTGTTGTTGACAATAAGCCAGGACAGCTTAGGAACACCTCAGTGATCTCTTCATCCCACACAAGAACCTCACACTAAAAAAACCTCAGACATTTTATCTGTTCTGAATACAGTTCTCTAGCTTTGACGTCAACAGAACCAAGCTTGTATCTGCACGGCTTGAAACTGGTTTTGCTGAGCCGTAGCTACAAATCATTTGGTTTAGACAAAATCACCAGGTAGGCCCCTTGAATTCAAGCATGACGTTCCATGCTGCCACAAATCCGAGGCAGTAATTGCTTTTCAGAAAGCAGATAACGAGGAAAAACACTAATGCTAGTGAAGCTGCCCCCCTGGCAACTCCTGCTGACCCTGGGGATGATCCACTTTTCTGTGCTTGGGTACCAATTTATTGCAGAGGGGCATCTTGCCCCTTGTCTTGTTACTACCGTTTATAGCTACCAGACCAGCAGCTTCCACGACCAACTTCTCGGGCAGCCTTGCTAGACTCTGAAGGGGCAGCACTATTAACCTGCTCTTCACAAACAGGCCCCAGACAAAAATCAAATGGCAAATTCTGGGAAAGTACTCCATTTGGGATGAGTACAAAGTTCTTCCTCCCCTTTTTCACAACAACCATCTTCCCTGAGATACTGTCAAACACCAATGAGGCTTTAAACATCAATTTGATACTTTAGCGATCTTGTTCATCTTACTACTTTGGTATTGTTTTTAGCATTGGATAGTCTTAACTCTTTAAAGTGCACTAAGTCATTTGCCCACTGCTGCAAAATCCTCAAATGTCAGAAGACAAAAGGAGGTTTTAAAATAAATCCATGTATGCCATGTGTGCTCAGCATGTCTTCCTGCTTATTAACAATCTTACACAAGGAATGGCCTTTGAAAACGTTATTCTTAGGCACTCATATTAAGGGAAGGTTGTCTGTATTGGTGAATCAGCTGATGAGCATTTTGGAGACCAACGGAAAGTAATATGCTATTTTAGCAAACTTCTTAATATGGGTGGTAGAGCCTGGTATACTAGTCATACTAGACTGTTGTAAGAAAAAAAAAAAAGCATTTTTTTTCTGCCAAAACTTCACCTATTTTAGTTTTTATTGAGGGACACTGATTGAAGGAGGACAAAAAGTCCCAGACTAGGAACATACACCCCCTCAGCTCTAAGTCAAAATACGAGTACTATGCTTACAAAGCTAATCCCAAGGGAGACTGTGGACTCTCCATTTGTCCATAAAATGAATCAAGCCAAATATCCCAACAAGCAGTGAAAATTACATAAAAAAAACCCACCACTTGATGGGTCCATTCTGCTTAAAGGAGTCATGGTGTATGAGATGAAATCTGTGCAGTCTTGCAGCTGTAGGTATGTGGTTTAACACTTTATCTCAACATGAACAGGAGCCATGGGCAGGTTTCCTGTGTTTTTTGGAAGTACTTGGCAGTTCTGGGACATCCAGATGAATCAGAATTTATTGAACTAATAACATGAAGTACGGAGGGATGGGAAACCAATTTATTTTAGAATGAAAAAAATGCCCAACAAACCATTTCGAAACTAACTTTCTAAAAAAGAGGACCTGAAATGGTGTGCAAGATCCATAACACATAGAAGAAATACTGAACTTGAAACAGTCGGTAGTGCCTGTGGCCAGTGTCCCTCACCACACGCAGCTATTGAAAATGTGTGCCAGTGAAAGAGGCTGTATTTAGACGTATTTCTACTCCTCTGTATTTCCCACTCATTTAAAAGTAAAAACTGTAAAGAGTACCCTATTTCAAGGCAAGAATTACAAAACTGTAAGAATGTTTATTATTAATCATTAAAAATATAACATATTCAAGACACAATGTACATACGTGAAAGTAATGACTAATGCGTACAGCGTCTTCACTTTGATAGCTTTTTCTCCTTTTCTTTTGCTTTCACTGCCTTCCTTTCCTGAGTTCTGATCATTGATAACATGGCTGAAAATAGCGGCAAGAACGGATTATCTGAACATCGCCTATGTTAAAACGATTGAGGCCTCAGGTGCAGACACCTGAAGCTTTGTAATATCTTCCCACACGTTCAACTGTACTTATCAAGCCCTCACAAATGCAACTTTAGTTTGCAATTCTTTATATGGAGGGCCTTAACAGGAAAGATAAACCTAGTTATAAACAGGCACCACCGCATCTGCTTTGTGAAGCCAAAGCACCAAATGCTGGAGTAGTGGTGAAATGCTATCGATTTCAGAATCTCTTATGGGATGGTGTGAAATTAATACCTTTGGTGCAACGCTCACGGAAACAGGTTAACTTCGTGGGTACATAAAAGGCTTCCCCTCCACCTTTTATATAAGAACTCTCGATACATTACAGATATGAATATATATTTTTATGTGGATATAGAAAACAGGCAAACTGAAAATGTTAATGGATGGCAAAGAATAAAATGAGAACACTCAGCTTATACTTTATATAAGTAATTGATAGTTTTACTTAAATCACTTGTCACTTGCATGTCCCCGACACATGTGCACAGTATGATGTGGGGAAATAATAATTTCCCAAATCTATGCAACGAGACTTAAAGGGGCAAAGGGGAAGCAATTGGAATGTGCAGTAAGAAAAAGTGCAGAGAAAATAAATTCCGTCTCACTTGGCATCCTGCCGTCACAGGAATTCATGAGCATTTTACCAGTGACTTCAAAGGGAGCAAGAAGAGAACCTGAAAAGTTCTCCATCGTCACTGTTGTCATCTCAGATTTAAAAAAAGTTGAGGAGGAAAGGATATGCTTCCGAGGCCACTGCTGGGAAACTGGTTTTGGAGTCTACTGCTGTCTGAGTGTCTTTCAGTTTCCATGAAAAAGTCATCAGCTTGTTAAAAATTTCATTTAATTGGACATGACAGCACATGAGGGCACCCTTGACCAGCTGCCATGTTTGAAATGTTAAGGATCTTGAAGCTTATTGGAGTTAAGGGACTGAGCGACAGTGCATTGTGGAGTTAATCTAATTACTCTCCTAGGAGCAGGATAATATAGAAGTGGGTACTGCTAGTAAACCAGGCACATCTAAATTGACCTCATGCAAAAACACAGGTAGTGCTTTGGCAGGTAACAAGAACAGTTTCTGGAGAGTGTGGGTATTTTAAATAAAATACGAATATTTTCGGTAAATTCCGGCACCTTGTGTTTTCATCTGTAATGATTCCACCACATTTTGCAGGCTTCCCATCTTGTTCTGTAGCCTCCTACGTGTATTGTCACTAGTGTCCAGGGGCTGAGATGCTAGTGAGAAAATTATTCATCAATATGTTATCACAGATAAAAAAAAAATAAAGGTCATTATAAATTACTTAAACCTTCCATCTAAAGCAAAGTTTTTAGAAAATAAAATTTCAAACAATAAAACTTCCAGTAGCAAAGAAAATGAGTAAGAAGACAACGTTATTTACAGAAATTTATACTTGGTGGTATTTCTGTTCAAGTGAAAGTACAACCACATTTCTATTTTGCCTATAAATTACCCCATTTAGGGAATTAAGGAAAAGGGATTTATGTTATTAAAATAGTATTTACGCCCACGAGTTGTAAGTCCCTCTTTGCCAGTAGAACTGCAAGGGTTGCACAAAGGAAAGTAGCAATGTCGGTTGCATTTTACAGATGGCAAACTAAGGTACAGAGAGATGTCACTTACTAAAGCCCAGAACAAACCCAGAAATTCCAAGTCTTTGAAGATTCAGATCAGTGCAGAATTCAATAGGCATAGCGCCTGTCTGACTGAACACTAACACACACAGACGGACACACTCACATCAGTACTTTACAAATTACAGTCCCCTGAAGCCTCTTCTGACCAGAACTTGGACTGTTTCATTTTTGCTGATGTCATCAATCCTCAAATAGAGGAGGGGAGAAAAAAAAAAAAAGAGCCAGAGATGGAGGTCACTGGCTGACCAAATTAATAAACAAACCACAAAGCCAAAAACACAACTGGCAGAGACTCAGCCAAGCTTTTTCGATCAGTAAATGGGACCAGACTTACTTCTCTGGGGGACTGTGGCTGCACTCTCCGGAGAGTCAACCTTCCTTGCGGATAGTCCATGCTCTGGTGAGGTGCTGGGGCCAGCTGCGAGGTCATCGGGCAGAGCAGTTAACAGTAAGTGTACCGGAGACCTTCCTCTGTATCTCTCCTGAGAGACCTTCTTGGGGGAAGATGCTGAGAAGATGGATGTACTTCCTAGGAGATACCCAAGCAAAGAACAGTGAGCACACACCTGAAGAGAAACCTCCATACCAGCTTTGACGTTCTATCTGTAACAATTACAGGGTTGGGTCCCCTTCATTGCACTCTTTCATCCTTTCCATTCCTTATTAGGAGCAAAGGTAGCAGAAGACTACAGCCAAAACATGCTTGTTTCTGTTAAAGTGATTGTCATGTGAAGAACAGCCAGTAAACCTGCCTAGGAGAAAGCAGAGCCTGCTTTTTTCTGCTGGCTACCCACTTTACGTTTACTTCCAAAACAGTCTGACGGGAGCACCCTAGCTGCTAACAACCCAAGACTCCCCGTACGTTACTGCTCACTTAGATCTCATTAATTAGGTATAAGAAGCAGAAAAACAATGTTGCTTATACAGGTCTGCCATTGCCCTCCTTTTCATTAACTGATTGATAATGCTTTGAATTCCTGGCAGAGAGAGAATCATAAGGAAAAGAGACAAGATACGCACAGAAACATCCAATCAACAGATCACATAACATATTTTCATGTGTATGGCACACAGTGTGTGACTGAAAAAAAAAAAAAGGTTGCAGCAGCTAAGGAGGGGAACATTTACTACAATTCTTCTCTTTTTTTCCCTTAGCCTGTTTCTTTACTCCTAACACCCCTCCCGGGACGTCTTGAAAATAATTCAGGGGCTTCTAACAAACTCTCCTTGTTCAACTCCTTCTCGAGTCTTCTGTGTAAAAAAACGCTACTGGCAGCTATTTTGGAAGCTAGGAAAATTCCCTGGATGTTGTAGTAGGTTTGCTAGAAGGCTGACAGTAACTACCCAGATTTTCTTTAATACTCAGAAATACAAAAAGAGGACCCATAGCAGTTACTCCTTAGGACAAAGAGAGGAGTTCCAGCCTCTCTCTGAAGCACAGTGGCTTAAATACTAACAGAGAACAATTAACTCTATCAGCATCTGCAGGCAATTTTCACCGAAAATTCACAGAATGGATAATCTATGGGCAAGAAAACAGAAAGTGGCTAAGAGGAGTATCTTCAAACCTTGATGCTCAAAACCATATCCTTCTACTTCTGTTTAGGCTACTAAATTCATCTCACCACATTTGAAAAGGTACTGACCACACAGTACTTGGAAGGAACTCAACAGAATCTGCAATGACCTGATTCCTCTCAAAATCCCATCTATATTTATATACCTGAACACAGAATTCAAGAGCCTAAATTCAGGCACCAAAAATCTGACAATATTATCCATGCTAATTACACAAGACTATTGCTATTCATGAGTAACTACCATGGAAGATACCCATTTTAGGTGTGCTGGTATCAGTGTCCAGGGAGCTGGTTTGCAACAAGATCCAGATTTTGTAGTAAGTGCAATGGAGACTTTGTAATAGCATCTGCTAAGAGGTATTTTAGTAAATAAACGAAGAAAATGTACTGTATTTGGACTATGTTGTAGTATTCTGTAACGTTCCATTTCGACATCGCTATGACACATTCATCCTCAAATGTGGCAAATGAAAACTTACCAAGGGATGTAAAGGGCAGGGTAAGGTCTTGGGACTGAAGATCTGCAGTATGTAAGCCAGATGGATCCCTGCAAGCAAAACAATGGCAAAACTTGCATTCTGGAAGTATTATGCTAAGTTTTGGTAATGCTAGCTAGCCTCCACAGTGAGAATGTGAAGCTCTCATATGTAATCTCCAGATCTTATGCATGTAAATGAGAAGGAAACAATGTAAATAAGTTCGAGAGCTCTTTCTTAGAGGGATCAAAGTAACATCATAGCTTTGTTTTGTAATTCCCAGGAAGCTTTTAGCATTATGAATAAAACAATACAAACAAGCTCAGGAGTGATGCTGTATTAAAAAAGCCTTAGAAACTGAATCTCAAATGAGTACTTTAAGAAGCAGGTTACTCAGCTAAGCAAAAGCCCTTCTCACCATCTGAAAGTATCCTTTTCCGTGATGCTTTCGGTAGCAGAGTCTCTAGCTGCAGTCTCCCTGCATGGAAAAACATATCGCTGTCAAAATCACAGCAAAAGCCATGCCAGTAGGATGTAGAAAGACAACATCAGAACTAGAACTATCGACAGCACTGAGATAGTCATGTACTTTGACAGATGGCTTTGTATATTGAGGGATGATTAGGTGTAGGATTCTTCCATCCTCATTTCAGCTCTGCAAGAGAACATTGTTGCAAGGGAGAAAAATTCTCATAAAATCCATGTGGTCCGAACCATAAAAGCTTGCAACCATAAGTAGAAGAGTTTTTCCCACTGCCACCATAAACACAGAACCTAAGCAATCATCATATAGTAGAGGCTGGCAAAGGACTCTACCTATGATAGGCAAAGTCAAGGCAGGAAAAGGTAGTACGTTTACTACCTAAAACATCAGACAGACAGACCAACTTCTGTGCATGAATCATTTTTCCAGTTGTGAAACAGAAGGTTGTATATTTAAGCTGTCAAAAATTTGCATGTTGATAACAGGCAGATTTTTTGTTCAATAAAAATACCTGGGAAAAGCAGAAAACCCCAGAATACATAGGATACTCTACCACTGTCATTATAATTTGTTAGGTAAAAAAAATAATTGCCTTCTTCAACAATGAGAGAAGGAATATTCACCTAAGGCAGAAAAAGAAGAAAGCAGTTTTAAATGAAAATAGAAGCAGAAATGCTGAAAAGCAAGCAATAAAGGCAAATGGGATAGTCACCTTCTATTTCCCTACCACCTACAGCATCTGAGGAACCTGGCAAACTACAGAAGCTTTGGAAGCTTTCAGATTATCTCAAGCTTATTCATAAACTCAACTTTCTTGCAAAAAGGCATCCTATACTGCTCCTGAAACACATGAAGTTTTACAAGGCAATACGAGTACATAGCACACAACAGAAATAACAGTATATTACTCTTACACTGTATTCCTCATGGTTGCTAAAGGTGATTTTCTCCGACCATTGCTGTCATCCTTGCCAAGATCCACAGCGGGAATGTCATTGTCTGAGCTTGTTAAATCTTGAAGAATCCTCTTTAGATCCTGCAGTGGTTCCTCCTTCAAAATGCCTGGCTTGGAAGGCATCTGAAATAAAAATAATTCAGTTTTACAAAGGATTTGTAAAGGCACTCTCTTTTTCAATTCTTACCTGTACTTGTCCAAAGTCATGTGTTTTTCCCCCCTCTACTCTTGTCTTACCAGTTAGAAACAGGGTGGATTTTTTCGTAATTTTAGTTAAGGAGTGGTGGAGGATAGATCATGATAACTTGAAGACTGTCAAAATACTCTGAATATGATTGCACTCTTATCTGGAAAGTTATCTGACAGAAATGTGTAAAGCAACTACATGTGATTGAGGGAGAACACAGCTAACATCTGTGTTTTGAATAAATGCTGTAAACTGTTTCAAGGTCAAAAACATTAAAATAAGCCTTTCATTACAAAAGCTTCCCCCCTTCTTCCCCAATACAACCATTACCTTTCAAAGTATTCGGAACCAATAAGTTTTTGTAAGTAATAAGTAATTCTATTTTCTCATTTTTAACCTGTGATCCCAGGTATTACTGTACAGTACACAAACACAGCTCTGAAGACAGAAATACTAGTGTGTCAGGCACTCATTTCTGTAACAGCTGAGTTGTCTGCAAATATAAACCACTTTATTGTCACAGCCATACTCTGAAACGACATGCAATATTATTCTCATTTTACTGATGAGGACTTGAGGCAAAGGTCTGGTTCAAAGAATCATTCTTTCTGTGAAGAACTGGATTCCTCAGACTACTCAGCACTTCACATGTTCAAAGCACTGCTTCCACTGATTTACGCTTCATCTGTGGATGGGACTGACAGAAACATCTTGCTAACATCTTTTTGTTGGAAAAAATGTCATTTTCAATAGGAACACACTAGTTTCAGCAGAGCTTATATGGAGAACAAAGCCTCAGCTTCGTAATGGGTCAATGTGATTCTCCTTCAGACCAAATCCTTCTTTCCCGCATTCTGGCTGAGAAACCAGGCTGTTGTTTAGGGAGGGTCTCCATCTTAAGTGCCAGAGCTGCTTCTTTTTGTACAGTAATGAATCATGCAGGAACCAAGAAGATTCAAGTAGACCTTGAATCAAGTTGTCCTACAACCTGTTAGGTTCTCACCATGGTACTACATTAAAAATCGGTCTTTTTTCCTTCTCTATCTTCAGAAGTATACATTGATTAACTCAAAACAAAGAGAGTGGGAGTGCCTGATGCTGCAGGGATTTCACAACATTAACTACTTTTTGTTCTTTGAAAAAATTAGAACACTAGCATCTAATTTAAATCTAAATGTAGATGTACAAAAACAAAAGGAAGAAAGGGCAACGATGTGTCTTTTAGGATAAAACTGGTCAAAATCAGTGAAGGCCAGCTTGGAGAAAGATTTAATATTAAAAACTACTATAGGTCAATCAGATGATGAAATGTATCAGGAGCTGTGTACAAGTCTATTTTCACTGCCAAATGTAAGTAATTTACAGCCAGTAAAGTACTAGCAAAAAAAAGAAAGTGATAACCAAACTGCTTACAGATTGGTACCTTCAATTTTAACAGTTTATAAATGTTACTGGTGATAGTGGTAAGACAGACTCCTATTACAATCGATAGAATTTTTTACTGTCCGATTGGTTTTTACATACATTTCGCAAATGGAAAAAAAGAAAATCTGAAATGCCATAATGTATGAGAAGCTACAGAAAATGATTTCACCTTTGGTGGTAAGAATTCACTTTTGGATACTACTAAACGAGATGCTCTCCCATTGATAAATTCAGTGTCACTTTTAGTCTTTGGAACATGCCCGCTTCCCGTGCAGCTTCCCATTTTGAGGCAGGTACTCACATGAGGGGCGCAGCTGGGCAAGTTCAGGGAAGGTGGCAGGACAGCAGAGTGCAGGTGGGAAAGAGGGGCCATGTGCCGCAGCTTGCCTGAAGCAGAAGCTGAGGAGTAGCCTGGGCCCTGCAGCTCCTGCGGGAAAACATGAGCCAAGCAGAATAAGCAGAAGAAATGGGTATAGACAGCACGCCCTCTGTAACAGGGCATCTCTTTTAGTCAAATCTTTTATATTATGCAGCACTCAATTCTCAAAACACTTCCTAGCATTTATTAGGTGTGCTCAGATATAACCGTTTTAGTGACTGAACTGGGTTCAAGAGTGGCAGTTTGGTTTATTTTCAGAATGTTAACGTATGCTCTGGAGCCATTCAAGCGAAGGACATCTCAGGGCCACCACAAAACTAAACTGTCCCACAGTTCTTGTACCTTTTTTCCCACACTTGGGTGAGAATTTCTTTCAATGGAATACGAGATCCCCTACCTTTGCCATTGCTCATATGAAGTACTTTTTGTATTGCTTATGTAGATTTGTATTTTGAATATAACATTTCATTTCTCACTCAAAACTAGCAACTGGGATAGGTCACTAATATTAGCGATAATTTCTTACGACAACTACTGTTCCAAGTGTAGCGTTTGTTTACAGTAGTAGTTTCATTGCAGCCTTAATAGTCTATGGTTATAAAATAACTACAGCAAAGGTAAAAAATATTCTCTATTAAACTCATTAGTAAAGATAGAGATTGGAATAAATAAATCTATTGGGCAATAAAAATTCTGCTCTATAATAGGGATACTAGCTTTACATGATTGCATGATTTTCCCTAGCCCCTACCTTTCACTAATGCTATAGAGCTCCAGAGATGACAATTACATGTCTTCCTTTTTCTGTCCCAGATGCCTCATGACTCTATTTCCTTTCCCACTGCTAACATGTCTCTTTGCTTCTTAAAAATTAATGATTTTTTTGTGTGCTGCCTAACTCATTAGCAAAATCAAATTAAACTCAAAGCCCTTCTCTCCAGCCTGTATGTAGCTTTACAGTTGCTGGTTTTATTTCAGGCCTGAAGGAGGAAGTGGGTGTCCAAAAGCTTGTTAGTGCTTTCTATCTCTAACAGTTCCACTAGTAAAAGGCATCCCTACAGACCTCGTCTCTCTAAATCATTTTTCATAATAACGCCATGAACACTTCTAGCTTTTCTTTGCCAAGGGCCGCACGAAAACGCTGAAGTGTCACTGAAACCAAAGCTTAGCAGCTGAAGCATATGGTCCAGCATATTGCTGTAGCTGTTTAATTTTTTTTGTTGCTCTTACTGTAGAGTAATACTTCAAAGTAACTGAAATTAGGGACATGACTTGTGCAGCAATGAGATATCCCACATCATAAAGAAGGGTTTCAGAACACAAACTTTTTAGAGTATTTGCAATAAACAGGGTTAAACCTCAAGTTAGGACACAAAGTAAACGCATCTAACTTTATACCCATGCTTCTCAGTGACATACTTACTTTCACATCTAAAGTATGCTGCAGTCTGAAGCGCATAGCTTCTTGTTCCTGACACTGGATTATGCACTGACATTCTGCAAATTGCATGGATGCCTGTAAGAGAGGATAAAAGTGGCATAAATTAATTTTGCTAACTTTCTGTGGATTACACTCTTATTCCAATAAAGAAACAACAAGGTACACACACAGATGCTGTATTTATCTACTGCTATCAGTACAGAAATACTGCAAGCTGACCAGATGCCTTTCTTGATAGGCTTACAAAAGCAACTGACTGGTTATATGATCCTAGTAGCCATAACATGCACACCATAGCATCACAGAGGAGAGCTAATCCTGTCAGGGACAGTCCTAGACCTACTGAAGACCTCTGGGATTAGAAAATTCTGTGCTAATGAGGTAAAACTGTGCTCAAGGTTTTAAAGTGGCTGTCTGATAACTTTGTTGACCTGTCTTTGTTAAGTTGTTATATACTCTTTCTTCTTTAAAAAGTTTACTCTGAAAAGGTGTGAGAAGATCTAATAACGTAGCTATCTTTCATTGAGTACTTATCAGGATACCAAGAAGAGGAGAGGATGCTCTAAGCCAAAGCACAAAAAGAGATAGATCTTTATGAACTAGACTGCTTGTATCACTCTAGCAGAGTTCCCACTTTGGTTTTAAAATAAAACCTGGCGTTCTTGCTGTGCTTCTTTATGACTGCCCCAGAGGCATGGGCAGGCTCCCTGAGGCACTGTGGATGTATGGTTACAAGCAGCATCTTTTTGAACATTTAACTCTGAATCATTAATGATGAGCTATATGGCCAATTACACTTTATGATGCTTATACAATGGCTGCTCTGCGTTAACGTCCCATGAGATGACACAGTACAACCTTTACTAATTTCTAAGAATTGTTATTTGGTGCACCATATGTGCTAGTTTTCAGTGGCAATTTAAGAATGACACCTTACATGGAAATTTACATCCTGAAAAGCTAGAATTCTGAGCAACTGAAAAGGACTCTTCTTTCTGGAAGAGAAGCAGCTTACCTTACCTGGAGGGGACCTGTGGGGATTTACGTGCTAGTCAGACCAAAATGTAGAACCTTGCCTTAAAAGAAGTCAGGTATGTCAGCAACAGAAACCTCAACTAAAAAGACAAATGAAACAACACGATGTTCTTAAAAATTTCCCTCACCCTCAGGGACCCACAGCTGGCTAACTAAGGTCCCAGAAAGGGCTGAGCAGGGACAAGTGTGTTGAGCCAGCCTGTGGCCACACTCGGTTCCAGTGGAGCCCCTGTTACACGAAATAAGGGTCGCTCGCGCCAGGGAAAGGAGCTGTGCCGAGAGCCAGTGGAAGGTCAATCTACTGCCTGGAAGGTCAATCTGCTTTAAATTCCCTGCAGTTTGTATTTCCCTGAGCTAGTAAGGAGTAAATCAAGAATTCTATTAATTAAAATAGAAGCCTTTTACCATTAAAAAACCCAGAAGATAGTCTTAACTATACACATCTCTTCAGGAAAGTATCTTACAGTACACGTGAATAGGACATACTAAATACAACCTAGGTCGAGACATTTTCTCTTCCCAAGTGACTATAGAGGAAAACACCAAGAAGTCTCACCGAACTTAAAGCTACCTAAGATTACCTTATCAAGGGCTGTTTCCATCTTAGGTATTTTTTCTTTCAGACGTTTGTCTTGTGATCTCAGGATCTCCAGTTCCCCAGCAATCTTGGTATTTTCTGCTGTAATATAGCTCAACTCTTGACTTAGATTACTATTTTCTTCTTTGAGGTAACGCTTCTCCTGAATTTAAGATAATGACAACAAAGTATGAGTCAAGAATTTGTAACTACCTACATCACACATACTTGGGTTTTGGCATTTTTTTCTGTTTGAAGATCTGAATTAACCCTTTCAGAAACTCAGCTATTGCATCTTGCAGAAAGATGAGGTTTTTCAACAAGAAGATAGGTCTTACAAGAAAAGTACAATTGGACCTCTCCTGATGAAGTAACATCTCGAATTTTAGATCCATTTTGAAACTGGAATTTTAAGCTTCAGGATCAACAGGATCCAAAGCCAGTAAAGGAGAAGGTTAGAATGAACAGATATAAATGATCATTCAGTAAACTCCAGCTATTGGTAACCAAATGATTTGTCACAGAAAATGCTAGAAAGACCTCAATATTCTAGGCAGACCTTGACACACAGAGTTTACAACCAACACTGTAATGAACCACCTCAGAAAACAAAGAGGGGAAGCACTGTGAGCCAAATTCAGACGGATACAGAATGCATTAGTTGACATTTTAAAAAAGAACTGAAATGTAAGACCTTGATTGTCATTTAAACTAGTACTGTTCTTTCATGGAGAACAAATACGAATTAAACCCTGTCTCTATGCAGAAGGCTAATGTATGTCGTGGAAGTACTCCCTGAAATATGCTAGCAGAACGACAGGGAAGGTGCCCATTACATCAAGTAAAATTCTCTTTGGTCCTCCTTGAGCCAACTGTGCTTTTGGTCATGCATTTCTCCAAAGAAAGACTTCTCTAGATACAGTTAAATACTTTTACACAGAACTCTTGTGACCTTAGCTGCATTTGTCATTGCCTCTTCCAAGAATTTAATCTTGCTTTGTAATGCATCTATCTGTCCTCTCTTGGCTGTGATCTGCTTCTGCATTCCCACTGCAACTTTCACAGCTGTAAAAGACAAGGTTAATTCTCAATGAATAACGTTGATAATGCATTCTGAGTTCTTACAAAAGACTCTGGAAGTTATTTATCAGGAGTATGTCAGAATAAATAAGTTAAACCAGGATCCTATAGTCACTTATGTGTGCAAACCACCCATTACAATCAGACGGAGTATTGTCCAAGGTAGTGGCACCAGACCCACAGCACACACACAAGACAAGATGACAGCATGCCTTGGAAATCTCCATAAAGATCACCTGAGAAAACCCAACTCATGGTTTAAATTTTACGGTATGCAGTAAATGGTAAAATTAAAAAAAAGTTGTCATCTGCAATATTGTTCATTTATTTCACAAAATATCTGGAGTATTATTATAACATCTACTGAGGGATCAATACCTAAAAAAATCCTCTTGTTAAAAAGACAAACGTGTGTGATTTTTGGCAAGTTCAATCCATAGTTACCATGGCCATCAGATCCCTCCACAGTCTTTAGAGCAGTCCTGGTCCGCTCCAGTTCACCTTGGGCAGATTTCACCTGCATTTTCAGTCTGTTTGCAGTATTTTCCATCTCCTTGATTTTATCCCGGTAATCCCTCTTCAAATCTTCAAATCCTTCTGGTGAGAGGAAGTAAAGATTGAAATTATAATGACAAAAATTATCATTCTTCTAGACTAAGATTACTGATTTGTTGCCTACTCTCTTTAAAGGAGCATTAGATATGCAGGTAACTAAGACATAAAGCAAATAACATCCACTGCTAACAAATGCACAACTAGTAGTTCATTGTCCTGCATGTCAACATAAGCTTTTGTTTCACCAGAAGCAAATGTGTTCTTTGGTTGCTCTCCAAAGCAACAGTTCATGAGTGTGATATAAATCCACATTTCTGAGATCCTGCTGCTAGAATCAACTGCGTATTGTGAAAGTTAAGGGTATCAGTGAGACAGCATTTTGCCCTTGTCATTCCTCTCGCCAGCCACACTTATAACCAGGCTTAGGTCTGAACTGATCTAATTTGTCAAGCATTCCTCCGCAACTCTGCTTCTCAGCTCTGTTCCTTGTATCTCTCTTCAACTCCTCTTATGTCACCCATAGCACTCACTACAAGCCAGCCAGTTGTGTGCTCGGACTCCATCAACAGCTTGGCCCTGATTCCTCTGTGGTCATTCACTCCGCTAAGCCTTTCTTATACCTCATTCACACCAATAGTACTATACAAACCTACAGCAGACCTTCCATGTAAATTCACAGCATCCGTTTCATTCTTACAAAACTTAATGAGTTTAGAAGTATAGCCGAGTTGTAAAGAAATAAACGGTACCAAAGCAAAGCATGTGAACAGCATCATTTGGCTGGTGGCAGTACAGATTTAACAGATCATCTCCGTGAATTTTGGTGGTTGCCTTGGGTCTAGTCTCTGTTTTTTATTTTTTAAAAAATATTATCTTGATCAGCTTCCCCACACATCAGTGGTGAAAACAGTGTTTGGAGTTAGAACATAAACTTTTAAGTAACTTTGTACCAAAATGACAACAAAACAAAGTTCCACTGTAATTTGATCATAGATGGTTAATGGGATCCACTAGCGCTCTTCAATTCAGGAAAAAGTGGTCAAATTTCTATCCTGTCATTTACTAGATCTGCTTCTTTGGACTCCAGAGTCAGGCGGTTTAAGTATTTTTGCTCAGAGTAGTGAGAGACTGCCATAAAAACTGTATTCCCACCATCGTGTGCCAGAATCCCAAACCATGACTTAGCTCTCTGCAGCAATCTGACCATCCCATGCTGGCAGGGAACCTTCTGCTGTACCAGCAGCCATATTTGGACTCAGCAAGCAAGCTGCTCTTCTATTTTTAACATCAGCCCAATTTAGCAGCTATCGGAGCTGAGCTAAGTCGAGGCTCCCTACCTGCAAGGCCAGCTAGCTCACTCCGACCGGCTTGGAGTTCATTCATTAGCTGGTCCTTTTCCAGCTTCATATCATTAAGTGCATGGAGCCTCTCACTGCATGTGTTTACCAGTTTAACCTTTTCCCGTTCCAGCTCACTCAGTCTGGCCTCCATTTCATGTATTCTGGCTTCTTTCTCATCCTTTGCAATCTACTTACATAAAAAACAGTAGTAATTATGTGTCATATACATAATGATATAAAATAACCACAAAGATGCGCAGACATCATCATTACTTTAAATCTCAGTTGTCAAAGTACTGTTTGGGGCAAGAAAGAAAACAGAATAAAATAGACAAATTACTTCCGTGAAAATTGATAATCCAGGCAAAAAGGGTACAACAGAATCTGATGGGATGGCTTCACAGCATGTCTAACCTTACCAGGTGTATATGAAACCTATTTCCATCCTCCTGTATCACTCCTTCCATCTTCACTCCTAATGCTCAACTGCCTTCTAATAAAAGAGGATGAAATTCCCTATCTGGAGTGATTTTTTCCTGAAGATGCTGACCTGCATAAGACTAACATACGCTGTAATTCTTGTCTGAGAAATAACCAGTTATCAACAGTGTCCTCCGTTTGGAATTCTGAGTGCTCACTCTCTGTTACTTCTCAGGAACACTTCGTATTTCTGGTTCTGTTACTGGTACGGACAATTGTATTGCTGAGGACAACGTGTTATATGCCAGCTTTCCAACACTTTTGGCAACTGCTTTGCACCAGTGCATTATTTATTTTTGGTGGTAATATGATATTCTTCTTCTTCTCTGCCCACTAACTCTTCTAGTGCTGTTAGGATTCAAGGTGTATTGTCTAACCTGCTTTAAAACCACAGTATTAGCACGTTAAGGTACATATTTAAAACCAGAAAACATTCACTGCCTTACAGAGACATAAATACAGCATCACTTGCACACCTTAAGTTCTTCTACTTTAAGTTTCCAGTCATTCATTTCTTTTGTAAGCTGCGATTTCTCAACTTCCATTGCTCCAGCAGTTCGACTGTGCTGGCCCACAATCTGGGTCATGTTATCAATCTGCTTTTGGAAGATCTCAACAATCCGTTCCTTCTCTAACAGCTGCAGTTTCAGTGTTTCACACTCGGACTGCACGTTGTGTAAACAGCCCTCTTCGTTCTTTAGATGCTGGAGCTCCTGCATCCTATTGCCAAGTTGTAAATGTAGCTTCTTGATTTCCTTATCGGTAACCTCAAGGACTCTCTCCTTCTCCTGCAGACGGGCTGTCAGATTTGACACTGTTTTCTCAGCAGTCTCCAAATCGATCTGTTTGGCTGTAAGATCATCTTTAACTTTACGGAGCGTTTCCTTGGTTGCCTCCAGTTGGACAGTCAAAGAGGAGATTCTTCTAATGCTTTCATTTTTTTCCTTAATTGCAGCCACCTGAATAATAGCAATATAAGGATAGACCAAGGGAAAAGTTTATTTCTACCTGTGGACTTTCCTGTCACATTTCTGCTTTTCTATAGTTCATCTTAAATATCACAGTTTTACAGAAAATTAGGCCAGCATGGTCTGGTCTACAATGACTATGTGATTCTTCTGGTTTTCTTTCCTCTTTCTCCATTTAATAAATGACGTACTGCTTAGAATATTGGGGGTTTAATCATAGAAAATGAAAAATATTAAACTGGTGTAAAAAATAAAACCAAACCAGAAATGTTAGTATAAAATTAAGAGTAGTTGGGTCTAAAGAACTTTCAAGTGTTAAAACTCAATTGACTGCACTGTAAGTTGGGAAAAAAAAAAAGTATGCACATGAGTAATTTATTACTGATTTTATTCCTGCAGGCAGCAATGTGCACCACTTAAAGCATAAAGTACTGTGACTTTGGAACTGCTAATAGAACAAAATAACAACACAAGAAAAGAATGAACTTCCTGGTGGGAGGATTTTAAAGGAAAACTAATGGATTGAGAAAATGTAGAATGATGTGTGAGGTATCACAAGCCTGTGGCTGGTAGAAAATAAAGGAACTCGATCTCAGAATGCAAAGTGGGTTACCTAATTACAGCTCATTTTTGAGGGGCTGAAGTCTTGAAGAAAGGGGACTGTACTACAAGTCAGTGTCTACGAATCTACTTTGTCAGAAGTAATTCTTCTGACATAGCACTGCATTCAGCTTAGGGTTATAAACACAAACTTCATCATGTAGTGCTGAATGAAAACATAAAAGCAAGGCATTACGAAGGCCTTTAATTTACTAATTATTCTTACACAAGTGCTCACTACCAAAAATACTACCTTCAATTGTTTGTTACGTCTGCAGAATCAAACTTTCTGGAAATTTACAAAATGTTGTTTCGGAGGTTTACAGCCAAAATCAAACACGCTATCAGCGGAACATTCATCTTCTCCTAAGACTTGTACGTCAAAAATCAGAATGAAAAATAATGCTTCTACTTCCTCATCAGTACAGAAAAATGAAGGCTGGACAGGTCAGATTAATAGGAAAAAAAATGCAAATTCAGACTGTCATGTATCTGCTCCAGAGGCCTCCCAACCATGGTATCCAGAGTCAGAGTACTTCTATCTGAAGTACAGCCCCCAGCCGGTGCACCTTCTATCCTCAACGCTATCACGCCACAGTTGCTCACCAACCTGGTGCTCCATTTGTCTGTGACATTCAGTCCTCATTTCTTTCACCGAGTTTTCCATGCGCTCCAATTGCATGTTTTTGTTGTCTAGTTCTCTCCTTAGATGGTCAATGGTGATGCTGTTGTCTGTGTTCTGATCCCAAAATCGCTTGTTCTGCTCTTTTTCTAGACTTAGTTCTATCTCTTTTTTATGAAGTTCGGTCTACAAGAAATTAAAGAAGTCATCTCCCTCCTTGAATCACACTTAGGATTTTTTTGTTCTATCTCTTAACATCAGCAACATTCAATTACACGGTTACGTATCTGCATAGGGACTACTGCATGGATTTACACTGAGCAGAAGACAGGAATATTGGTTAAACTAGTCTGACATCTCCTAGGCATTTTCTTCCAACAAAGCAGTAACTTTCAACTTTATATATTGCTGCTATAATTATTTTGAAGCATGTAACACCTCAACGCTTAAGTCTTTCATGTCATTTATATCTATCCAAAAAACAGTATAAGCTACAGAATGAAACAAGATTATACTGTGTCAACATCAAACGAAAAACAACGAAGCACTAGGTTACATGCCAAGGAAGGCTGCTCTTGATAAATAACCATCTTTACCACTAATAAGAATTGTTCATTGCTTGTTTCATTTCACGCAGTAATTTGTCACATGTTCTCCAGAGCTTAAACATTTTCCACCTCAGACACAATCCTAACAGTAGGTAATTGAAATTATAAATGGCAATTTAAAATGTAAATAATATTAAAAATACTGACATATGTATTTCAGAGCTACTAATTTCAGAAATATGAATTTTAAATGTGCCCAAATTCAATTATCAAAAGGCATTTCTGCTAATCATAAATTTTGCTATTGTTAACTATCTGCTAATTGTTAAAGCTGAAGTAGAGAGCTAAGCAGGAAGCTCAGAGAATGGCAGAATGAAAACATGAGCTGAAGACACAGAAACAAAAGGAATCCTAAAATTAGATTCCTAACCTTCAACTATGCAATCATTATTTTGACCCTCTATGGCTATGTACAATCTGTAGAAAAAGATTTATACTAACATATTCTTGAATAGGAGAACATTGTAGGGAATGAAATAATTTCAACATCTCCTTCAGAAGCACTGTGACACTAACTGGGCAAACAAACCTAATGAAAGAATACAAACTCACATCCCAAAATTCAGTCACTAAGGAATAATCTTATGCGAGAAGAAAAGCAAGGCTAATTATAGTACATGAAGCCAGCTGTGATGAAACCGACCCTATGCAGCAAAATTTTTTTTTATACTGTATGTTCGTTTTGTGAATATTCTCAATCAGTTACAACGGAACGTTTATTGTCGTTAGGAAAATCCCGGATACATCTTGCAAAATATGTGTTAAGGGACCAAGGTTCCTTAACAGAGGGATCTAAACCATGAGGTTAAATTGGAGGTGGCTCAGCATCTTTAATGTGGTTTGCAGAGGATTCAAGGATTTTGAACTTAGGACCAAGTTAAATCTGAATGTCCTGCATTGTGAATGGCAAAGGCCTTTGGGAAACCTTCTTCACAGCTAATTCAAATCTCTATTAAAAAACAATCCTCAAACTTAATTATGACGGGGCTGCTGCACTTTGGAAACAAGCGAAGTGCAAATCTGAACACCAGCGGTAAGGAGATGCTTTTAGAAAACAAGATTTTTCTCAATACTACCACTTGTTTTTACCAACAATTGATGAATCCGGTCATTCAGATTTCCAGATTCTTGGTTGCGTTGATCCTGTTCTGTCTGAGCTTCTGCTATCTCAGAATGAGCTAGGTGCAACTGCTTCTCAAGATCTTTGACCTAGAATAAAGACAAATACTCATCAAGAATTATCTTAATATATTCTATTTTCAATAGTACATTGGATTTTTTTCTAGTTTTCTTCTAAGTTCTACTCCAAAGAAGTCCAAATGTCATCTTTTGGCTCAGCAGAGTTATTCCCTAAGTATATTCAGAATTGTGTTGTCTTCTTTTAGTGATTAAGCTCAATTTCATTGCAGAGTTAACTGAGGTTCCTGAGAATGAATTGGCTTCCACTTTGATCCACAGCTCTTCAAAAATTCCTTACCTAGAGCGTAAACATGGAATGGAACGGGAAAAGATGCAGTTTAGAAAAGAAGTTCAAGCTCCTTGCTTGATTTGCACTATTACTAGTTAGAAAAGTCAATATAATGCAAGCATAAGTAAAACACAATTTATATGGAATCATTCAATGAGAAAATACACAAAATCTCCTACAGTGCTCTTCCAACAAACACTTTAGGATCCACAGTATCTCTTTTGGCTAACACCAAAATCTGGGAATTTCCTTTCTACTTCCTTAAAAATGTTTCTTCAGCATGTGACAAAAGCAGTAATCTCTTCCCTTTCTCTTCTGCCCTCCGCCCCCTCTTTCATTCATCCAATTATAATGATGACATAATTCTTTCCAATTAGTAAGGGACCATTTATGCAGGGCTAGTCCCAAAACCTCATGTCCTTCACCAAATGGGGGCTGGGAACATCGGGATGATATGAGAGGATTTTGTCAAGGAAAGTTCTGAAGACCTTCTTACGAAGTTTTTCTTCCACAAAATCAGACAAAATCAGTAACCTTCTCTTTCCAGAGCTCCAATGCCTAAGCAGCAGCAGGACACTGTCAGGACCTTTTCTTCCCATAACTGCCCCAGGTCGTTTTTGAAAAGGGCTTCTTTCATCCTGTGGAGCCCTCCATCAGAAGGAGGAATCTCAAATAAATCCTAGGTTATTCCTCCCTGAAACTCTCCTTATGCAACTACACCCTATTGCCACAGAGGATCTAAGCCTGAAGTACACCCTCTACAGAGCTCAATGACTGCGTACAACGTTATCAACAGGGCCTTTCCTATACAATTAAGTTAGGGAGAATTTGGTCCCAAGCATATATTCAGCCATCTTCATTTTGTGCGAAGTTCTTCAGATGCACCAAGGCCCAACAGCAGGTTTCATGTAGGTAAGGCAGGGACATATATTCCTTCACTATTAATGCTTTAAGAAATCTACAGGCAAACATGTTTTGCTCCAAGTGGTAGTCACTTTCTCTGAAAGGATGTGACTTCTGGCAGTGTAAGAGATGATGGACCAGTCTACAACAGTTTTTAATAAAGATATTAACACAGGCATATCCAAACGGAATGTTTACGTATTTACATTTATATCCCCTATGTTAAGTACTGGATTTTCTGACTGCTGAAGCTATCTGGTATCAACAACTTACAGTGGCTTTAGTTTTCACCTACCACCTTGAAAATTTATTTGCTAAGGTGTTTTCCTACTACAGAAGCTGCAGAGAAATGCTTGTTGTAAAAGCGAGACATACAGTTGTAAAAGCTTTATTTAGATTCTCTCTCACACCTTCCCAGGAATGATCAAATGATCTCCAGCTACCAACATGTCTCTTGCTAAAGTCTACCTTAGCAATTCAGTGTATTACACTTCCTATTCAAAAGCAATTTTTACCAAGTAGTATCTTTTATAGATAAACAAAACCAACGTTTTCTGGACTTGGTAAACTGTGAAAAATAGCCTTGAATTGATTCCCAGTTTCCAATTTTACATCTGTTACGAGGTAAACATTATGAAAGGGAACATGCCGAAGGAATATACAGTACAGTTCTAGCTATATATGTGGTATGACCTTTGCTGTGCACTGCATGACTTAAATCAGAAGAATTCAGGTAAACAGACCTAACATGAAGGGCATACTGTACATTGTACTCTTCCCTGAGGATGAAATACAGTAATGGAGATTAATTTACAAATTCTCCATAGCTCAGTTACGATGATGTGAAAAGTCACTTTTGGAACTGACTAGTGGGAGTTTTGATACACGTGAATCAATCGAATTGATAAAAGTGGAAACCTACAGAAATAATAAAACATAATGTCCTTCCTGCTCTGCTTTATAGTTCAAGTACACGTACACCATGGCTCCACAGGCCTGACCGGCACATCCCTGCCATTCCATTCTCGGACCTTTTTGGATCACAGACTATCAGCTCTGCCAAAAACCTGAACTTTCCCTTTCCAACAGTATGTAGGAGAAGGTTGCCTGAATCCTCATGACTTGTAATCTAAGCTCGATTTGGATCCATCAAGCATTTCTGCATGGGTCAGCTCCACTAATTTTTAAAGGGAGTGGAGAGCAACTGTTTTCAGGTTATTTTCGAAGGAAAACATGAATTACCTTTCACCAAAAATAAGGAAGAATTTAAAGATATTCCAATTGTTTATAAAACTGGAATCCAAAGCAGTGAAATAGGTGAAAGACGCAGCAGACGTGATATGGAAACAAATGGATATAAAATGCTGCAGTTAGTGATACGGCAGAGATTCTATGGTGGGACTCTAGGAAGTTCTCTCTGTTTGTTTGCAGTAATTCCCTGCTGTACTACCTGGGAAAAAGTCTTTGGTCTTTGGGGAGAGGTGTGGTTAAGAAACGTTTGTCAAGACTAATGTTTTCTAATGGGGTTAAGAAATGGTTTGAACACACAGGTGCTGGCCAGCCTGTCTTTTTTACCTATATTATATCCTGCTGATAAGAAGCCTTTGGATTTCAATGAACGCTAAAGATTTTTAACTCCCAATGGGGCATCTCTGGGCACTTGAATGCTTCTCAAGCGCTGCTGTAATCTCTACGTTTCCTCATCCTTGCACTTACGCCACGACAAAGTTACCAAAGAATTTTTCTGGGCAGTATGACTTACATAAGAAGCTATTTTTGCTGCCTGGTTTTTCCTGATGTGTCCACTCGTAGTATAGTGGAACAATGTTCTTGTCCTGCATGTGCAAGTGATGTTTGTAGCTCAGAATCATTTTACGTATTTCCAGAAGGCATCATTTATGGTATGTTCTCAATACTGAACACAAAATAGTTTTGCCAAATGTGAGTTCTGCAAAGCTATTTTGTGTAAGAGAAAGATAACTTGTTCTTAAAAATAATACAAACAGAGTTAAGGATAATTTAATTTATCGTATTGTCCACACGCTTTTTCTGAAGCAATCCCTTATGAAAAGACTTTCCTTATGTATCTCAAACATTTCAGATATCCACATAGCCTATTTCATTGGTGCCAATGCTAACACACAAATAGATACACACCTTGTCTTCATACATCCTCTTAGCTTCTCGTAATTCAGAATGCAGCTGAGAAACTGTAGATTCCAGGTGACTCACTTGATGTGCATGCACCGAATTTTGGTTTCTTGTTTGCTCTCTAAGAAAAGTTTTACGTGGAGAAATTGGAAACTGTAAGAATCATGAAAGCGTGAAACATTTGTGGTTTTTTCACTGCAATCAGTATGACCACTGAAACTTACTACTTTGAAGTATGATTATCTTTCACAGTGGGATCACATACAAAATTACACCTTCTTACTGGTTAGATTTGCTCTCTTGATATCCATCTCACATAAAATTACACAAATTGAAATCTTGATGCTTTCTATTCCTGATGATAACTCATTTATTCTCAAGCAAGTTCTAAGGAAGCTAAGTCTGCTTTCAGATGCACCCTAACTATTCTGCAAGCAGAACTGAAAAGTGTGTTGCTATCAGCCATTCAGTCTCCACTATGCAAGTCAGATATTAATGCATACTGATACTTCAATCTCATCTTAAGTTTGCAACACTGCGTGGCATGTCCTCATTATATTGAGCACTAACTTCTGAGTCATCAAGGGGCCAGTGAGAATTAGTGTCTTTTTATTCTCACTCAACTGTTATCAAAGTCAACAGTACCAACATAACTATATACCCCAAATTAAAATTACCCTTTCTTTAAAATTACCATTCATTACCATTTATACATGTATGCAAACAAGCCAACTGTTTACCCATTCTTGTTTATGATTCAACTGGTAATGCTGCTGGAAATTAATTTTGTATCAGAATCCCTAGAACATTTAGAAGGCAATGGTCATGGTGAAATATAGCCACCTAAAACTGCACTCAGCCACAGCTCTTAGCTTACACACTCTTCTATCCCTTAAGTCCAGCCACGTACTTGCAGACCCTGTTCACAACTCAGATAACAGAGATTCATCATTCCAAAAGCCGGTGGCAAGAACAGAGCTGATGGCTGAACTTCCACTGACTTCCACAGCAGTCTGAGAAGAGAACCAGCCTGAGTCTCCCAATTCTCAGAGTTTGCCTACTGCACGGCTATTTTGCCTCACCTCTATATAGCAGGGTTTAATAGGGTTTTTTTGTTGTTTTCCTTTTTTTTCTTCGCTCCTTAATTTATGCAAGGACTGCTTAACTCTTTAAACAAAGACACTAAGAAACCACAAGCATAGGGCAGAGAGCAGAGTATACTAGCAGCGTAAGCTTTCTCTTGAATTACGGTTACTCTTAACATTTTCTATACTATAATTGAAAAACATACTGAATGATCTCCATCTGGCTTTGGATACTATTTGCATAGCTGCGTGCACTGTTAGCTTTATCAGTTAGTGCTGCCACCTCCTGTTCATGCTCACATATTAGCTGCTCAATCCTGTTTCAAAAAGAAAATAGCAGTTATAATTTTAGTCTTATCAAATAATAACTTCTCCACTGAAGAGGTAATGGTATTTTTTCTGCAGTCAGAAGCGTAATCATTTTGATGTTTTATTGTGAATGAAATATTCTGTATCGAGTTATTGACCCTTTCATTCTGAATAGGTTACTGTGTAATTCAGGAGGATAGCTGGGGAAATTAGGACTTCTTGTACAAGGAAGGACAAAGCTCTTAGTAAAATTAGTGATTACTTTTTTTTTAACGTTTCAATCTTTTAACGGTGGAACTAGTCTCCCAACAAATTCTAGACATCCACCTAAGTGACCAATCACAATTATAAAAGGAAGGTGTACAGATTCTTTCAAAATAACATTTTTGAGGCAGTGAATAAAACAGTATATTGTCACCATGGAAGGAAAAAGTAGCAGAAAGTCAAGAGCAAATAAACATCTGGAATGGAACAATGATTAAGTCCTCAAAAACATCGCTTGCTGCCCCCCCAGCTACTCCCCCTTCCATATCATCATCATCATCAGAAAAGAATTATCTGTGGAACACAAAAAAAAAGGTCTATTTATGTTTTATGAATAAATAAATGGAGAACAGGTACCTATTTTGATGTTGCTGAAGCAGAAGTTGTTTTTGGGTCTGTGAATCTTTTTTCAATAACTCAAGTTCTTCTTCCACCTATTGTAAACAGATGACAATGCTAATCCCTAAAGAAAAGACACTCTGAAAATTAGTTTTCAAAGCGTAATTTCCTTCCTTTTGCTTCCACCTTGAACTGTGAAAATGTGCACAATACAGGTTAAATTCCAGCAATAAACCCAATCTCAAGTTGGGCATATCAAGCCCCTGCCATTTAACTGCAGAGTAGCATTTGTACCTGTTTATGCCATAACCATTTCGTTAGGCCAGTTTAGATGGGAGCTCATGGAGTTTTCAAAAATATTTTCTAAAAAAACAGAACAGAGTGTTGGAAGGAAAAGCAGCACTTTCTTCACATACCAGGACAAGCTTTTCTTTGAGGTATGACACCTCTGAGTCTAAATCTTGCAAGACGTCAGCAAATGCTGTGCTCAGGTTGTGGATATGTAGGCTAGTAATATTCTCATGCTCATAGAGTTTCTTGCCTGTGCTGTCTTCGTAGTCCATTAGGATGCCACGTAGTTCCAGAAGTACTTCCTCGTGGCTGTGTACCACCTTTTTCAGATGCTCAGTTTGGCTGTCAGCTTCCCTCAGCATCTCTTCCTGCAGCTGGTTGGCAGCTTCCAGCTCTTGAATAGTATTTTTTAGCTGTATTTTTACATTCTCTTGGCTCTGGGATTCTTGTTGTCTGAATTTGGAAACCAAAGAAATAAATTAAAAACCACGATTCACAACATGGATTTTTATCCTGACTAATAGGCATAACACTTAGTTGATTAACTACTGGTTTTTACAACTACAGAATAAGCCATTTTCTAAACCAAGGTGCCGCATCGCATCGTCTTCATTCCTGAGGGCAAGCTTCTCACTTAAGAGATCCAGTGATCTGCTCTCAAAGCCCATACATACACTTTCCATGATACAACTGTCTTGGCCTTTGTACCTGGTCTCCTGAAGCGCATCTCTTTCCAATTGCACTTCCATCAGTTTGGTTTGCAGATCAGCAATGATCAGTCTTAAATTGATCTTCTGTGGCTCATGTAGCTCAGTGGTCTAAAGGAGGAAAAAACAACCAACCAAGCTGAACCAAACAAAATAGTGAATACATAACCTAAAAAACATAAGGCTGACAGCAACGTGGGTATGGGAATTCAGAGGTTATTTTTGTTTCTTTTCTTTTTCTTTTTTTTTTTTTCTATTTCTTAGTTAACCGGCTACTCACACCATGCTGTGGTGGACTGACTACGCATGGAACACCGTTACAAGGATCATGCCAACAGGATTATTACCCACTGCCTATTTCTGTCTCTCAAATGACATGCAGGAATTATGATGGCCAAGTACAATTTACAGCAGCCAAGAAGCTGCTCAAAATAGCACTGGCGAAACTGTCCAAAGACTCAGCAATAACAAAACCACCAAAACTTTATCTATACTTAAGAAGCTGCCCCAAATTTGCAACTCACTTCATTCAGCCTCTTCTGCACATCTCTACCTTTCTGCAAGTATTCTTCCAGAACGTTTTCCACGTGGTCTTTGCCAGCACCACTCATGATTTTTTTCTCAGAATCAGTATGTATTTCGTATTTGGAACAGAAGATGCTATTGGGTGGACTGCTACCAGTACTAGAAGAGGCTGAGTTTTCCATCACTGTGCTGAAAACGGAAGAAGCCAAAACATTCTGGTTGCTGAGAAATGGGCTAGCAGCACCTGAAAAGCAGATAAATTTAAGTGTGGAAACGAGAATAAAGAGTCATCTGTACAAACTGGGCATCAGTGCCTCTCCGGGCCTATCTATAGATAGTCAAACCAAGGAATCGTCTTTTCCAAGCACAACACACCCAGTCAATTCTAGGGTTGCACACTGGGTGGGGAATGCCACAGTGTTCAGAGGAGAACAAAATGGCTCTGCCTTTACCTTGGGCTTGCAATAACAAGAGCTGTTCAAGATGCAGGGCCTAAAAAGGATTCAACTTGAAACATGAAACACGAACTTATGAGCACCCTTCTAAATCACGTAATAGCCTGCAATGTTTACATTTACTCCCAAATCTTGTTCTGAAATCTGTTTAATACTTGCCTATGCTAGGCATATCGCCACTTCGTAAAGATTCCTCATGACTCAAAGAACACATCACTGATTCCACTGGGAATTTGGTGGCTTCTTCGTGGAGTTTCAGAGCCTCTTTTGTTTGTCTTTCCAGTGCCTCCCTGCAGAATAGCACATAGAAACATTTGCTGAAAAGGCAGGACTGAATACAGAAGAGTATCCAACTGCACTGCATCACAAATGCAACTTGAACTGAATAACCGAAAGAAGCGAAACCAAACAATTTCTTTGGTAACAGTGTTGTATTTTACTGGTTTGCACTTATATTTGGCAACACAGTGCCACATCTTCAGCTCCTGCAGTTCCAGCATAGTCAACTAAACTATTGTGTTTTGCCACTAGCAGGCATAATGTATAAAAGTCCAAACAAGTAAAGTAACACTTCATCAAACAAACAAAACTAAATTGGTTTGTCTTCTGAAAAGGGATTTCCTTTTATTTCCATATTTTTTCTCCTAGCTGGCCAGTAAAATGCTACCTTACAGAAATCTGTCAAATAGTTCATTTGCAGGTATAATAAGAAGTATCTCAGAAAACTTGTAGAATCACGGAAGTGTTTGCTTATTTAAAACCTCGAGCACAGAAGAAAGGAAACCTGTGCAGATTCACATCATCTTATTTTACTGGAATTGATCAGGCAACAGATCGTTTCATACATTCCTGGGGCAGGTGGAGAATGTGTGTGTGCAAAGAAAGTAGACAGATAAGGAAAAAAATAAAAGGCAAGAGGAATTTTTCTGACCAAAAGAGAAGAAATCCAGTCTAAGTGAGAGTAATAGGCAAGTTTTGGCAGTTCACCTATTAAGCTGTAAATGGAAGAAAGCTAAAAGGAAGCATGAAGAAAAAATAGTTGAGGGACAAAGAGGAATTGGAAATTATGGAAAAAATATTTTAAGTGGCAAGTCTACAGGTGAGGGAGGAATATGAGATCAGCAAGGAGAGCAGCTCCCTGTCATTTAGCGTCACTACGGTTGTGTGTGCATAGCAGAACTGTGACATTACAAATGTGAACACGCACAGCTGATTTCTGTCGACACAGCAATGCACTTGTTATGCTGCCTCTCTGCATTTGTATTAAAGCACCCTGATAAACCTGGGTTTTCATTCTGTAACATTACTGATAAAAAACATTAGAGGACACAGACGCAAACACAGCTGCAGAGCAGGGGGAAAAGCATCCTGAGGAGTCTGTTACCCTGAAAGGGGGTAGAAGAGGCATCAGCTACAGGCAAGGGTGGAGGTTCTATCAACACTGCCCTGTGATTGAGGAGTATAACCTAAATGCATAAAAATATTAAAATAATGACTAGACAAATCTCCAGGAGTAATAAATTTGACAGCTGGGACAGACATTCAGATTCATTAAGTTTTTACATTCTAATTCCCTGGACACTGAGACACTGAGGTATACTAAGCAAAAATATCACTTTTTCCTGACCATTTTTCTATGCATCTGCCACTAAACACTGTTGCAATAAGCACAGTGGTGAGACGATACTTCATTTTGATCCATCAGAGTCTGACTAAATCAAAGCTTTAGAAAGAAAAATACCATCCCCGTTCTTTGTTTCAGAGCAACTTTCAAATACTAGATACACAACTGTATATAAAAATCACTAAATCCAAGCACCACCTTCTGGGGAAAAAAAAAACCAAAACACTCAAACCAGTAACGTCACTGAATTTCACAAGTATCACTTTTCCAATGCTGAATGATTCTGAATCTAACAGTACACAGAATTTTGGACTCCTGCAAGTTCATTATCAAAGGACAGTTCTATATCCTGCTATTTGTGCAGAAATCTCATTGGCAGCAGGAAGAACTCATTCCACCGCGGACAGAAATGAAGCTACTATTTTGACACACAAATTACAATTATCAGTGTAATTTATCCTTCACTGTAGAGTGCCTTGGGCACCCATATCCTTAAATTTTGTGTTCACGTCTTTCCTGGCACATTGGTATAACAGACTACACCTCGGGAATGTTTTGGCTTCCATTTTCAGTGAGTGTGCTATTCACTGTAATGACAGACAGCAGGTACAGGAATTCCTCTAATAACAAAAACTGTGTATTACCTTAATTCCTGGATATTCTTGCTCATTGTAACAGCACCTGTGAAAAAAAAAATCTGTCCTTATTTTTAATATATTAAGAATCAACTTTATGTAATAAAAAATGAATTTTGCCCATCTGATTTTAATGTTGCAGGAGGCATTAAAAGATATTGAGGGAGATAGTTTCCCTCCTTTTTAAAGTCTTACGCTTTGTTTTGTCACGATGAACACAGATGCAGGCTTTTATAAGTACTTGCTAGCATCACCGGTTAGTTTTGCAACAACAATGAAGTGGCAAATCACACACACTACCACTTTCCCACAATGTTTCCAGATACAGAATTCTTCTAGAAGAAACACTGAAGATGAAATTTCTGTAAACATCTGCCTTGATCTCACGTACAAATCTATCCCATCTGCTTGATTAAAACCAAATTAACTTCTTCCTTATAATGTTCTTTTGGAGGTACTCCCTAAAGAAAACTGAAGTCTGGAGTGAGCCCAAACTGGGCAAGTCTAAACTTGTACATCTTAAGTTTTGGGAGCGTGATTGCTATGAATAGTCCTTGGGGGACAAGTCTGTGAACCTTTTCCCCAGAGGAAAAAAAAAAAAAAAAAAAAGAAAAATGAAGACACATTTATTACTCAGGGGTAGCTTTGTGCTGGATGGTATCTGATGGGGTTTTATTTGTGTTATTTGGATTTTCCTGCGTGACTGGTGTTCTGGAAAACATGGCACTACACTGTAAGTGAGGAAGTAGCTGCAGTAGCAGTTCCCATACCACAGATAATTTGACACCTTCCATGTATCTGACTGAAAAAGACCACTGTCCGTGCTTCCTAAGGGCATGTAATGGAGAAAAGTGAAGCCCTTTATCCCAGACCACAATCCCGAGTACCAGAAACAACACTTCCTTAAGATGAAAACACTGCCTCCAACCCTCCCATTGCAGCCCTTCAAAGTTCAACAGCACCAAGACGACAGGACCATTCTTCCCAAACCGGGACGGACCCCGTCACTCCCCCGGCCGCGTTTTCCGTGCAGCGAAGGAGGGCGAGCCCGGCGACGGCTGCGTCCGGCGGATCTCCCCGGCGGCGACAAT